ATTTTCAAGCACTTTTTTACTATAGTGCTCACAAAGCTAATTTTGACAGTTTGTAACTAATCGACAATTTATTTGTCCCCAAGGATGAGGCGATATTTTAGGGAATCAAGCCGTTCCATAAAAGACGTGCTAACAGAAAAAATAGCCGTAAAAACCCTTGTGTGTTTAGTATCAAAAGAAAGCTTATAAAACATTTAATCTAAACCTGCACAAATATATAGGGTGATGCATTTGAAGTTTCTGAGAAAAACTACAATTTGCGTTTTTGACCACCCTGTATGAGCAAAAATTAAAATTAGAAAAAGTAATGAATAAGATAAAAGCTGAGGCATGTAGGTTTTTCCTATATAAAATTCAGCAGTCCAGATTTCAAAATGGCGGAATGAAGGGTTGCCGAAGTGGGGGGTTTTTCTAGATAAAACACCTCATATCTCAGTAGCTAAGAACCATGTCATATCAATTTTCTTCTTTTGAATTGGTTTATCCAAACATGCAATAAAATTTGAGGCATTCCATCGGAAAATCACAACTTTGATATGCAGGTCGAAATTGGGACAACCATTATTTTAGAAATGTGTCCTCAAATGTCATGTATAACACCCGATAAATACATTTTTCCAAAATGTAACTGTTTATCAGTAATATCCTATCTACACATGGATGGGCCACCCTGTATACTTCGTATTTCTCCAAGCAATTGTGGCTACTCCACATATTATATTATTACTGGCACACGTAGAAGTGCTTACACTTGTAATCACATAGTGTTATACTGGTAGATGAAGCATTTTTGGCATATAGACAGTACATAGGAGGCTTCTATTTTTTGTTCTGAGTACGTATTCATTGACTTAGCGCACCAAGTAGGCTCTTAAATGTGAATTTTATCTGTACCGTCGCCACTAAAGCAATGTCTACGTGTAAAACCACCACTGGGTTGAGCTGACGTACCAGTCGTCGCTTACACATACATTCCAACACTGCTACCGTACCAGAAATTTCTGGCGCTAGTATACAGTGCTTTTCAAAAATCAAAAAACATCTTAAGGCAAGATCTAGTTGAATATGTAAGAATATAATATAGAACATTCCATTGAAAAAAAATCAAAACATATACTGCTTACAACTATATATCCCTCGTTTTGATAAATAGTACATTTATATTCTAGGAATAAAAAATGGTAATTACGACCTTGGGATAACTTTCAGATATAATTTTTATATGAGAATACACTTCATGCATCGGTTTCATCATCTCGAATTCACCTTCCTAATTTGACCAGATCAAGTAATAAATAGGGGCGAGGGAAGCTTTTTGTAAAGTACTGAACGTGTAAACCCGTCTTTAGTTATAATTCTAACTACGTACTACTCTCTCACATATCTTACTCTCCTCAAGCGTGTGTGGAACGTAATCACTGTTTTCTTGACTGTTTAAAATAGACGATCTCAGTCAACTGGACACCACTTACCATAGCGTCTTTGTATATTTCGACCAAGTCAGATCGAATTCAAATGAACTGAAATTGATTTGGTTTCAATGTTTTATTCTCACGTACGAACATTTGTGTGTTACCGGAGATAAATAGTTATTTATTCAGTGTAGTTGTGGAGATTGTTATATTGTTTACGCCAACATCCGATACATTGTACTGATTACAGGGTAAATTCACTGGAGTGCTCTAGAAACTTCAAGCAAGAAAATTTCAATTTGCTGTTATCTTGTTTCCAAAGCGAGAAGAAAGATACAGTTATTTATGTATACAGGGTTATCCAAATTAAGTGTCCACCATTAGTAACTTTGTTATTAGTGAAAATACAAAGTTGTTTGAATTAGCAAACTAGTAGCATTTTTAACGCTGGTAAAAATGAGAAATAAAAAAAAACAATTGAGAGTCGTTATTTTGATTTTTTTCAGTAAAATAACATTTTTTTAAATGGAAACCCCTGTATATTATATTTTTTTCTGTTAAAGCATCAAATTTTAAACAAAAAAGCTTACAATAACTTTTCTCCTAGGTTACAAATTGTTGAAGTTATGGCCTCCAATCTGAAACAATTAAATTGTATCGACAAACTTTATTTTCAACATCAACTTATAATCTTACAAAATACAATAACAATTTTTTTTAAAGAAGATGCTCGAAAACACCACCTTGTTCTTCAATACATTTTTGGGCACGTTTTTCAACTGCTCGAACTGTCTTAAGTATGGTCCTACCATCTATCTGGGTTATATTTTCCCTAACTGCAGTCTTTAACGCGTCAAGGTTATCGTACCTTCGCTTGTAAATTTGGTTCTTTAAGTAACCCCACAAGAAGTAATCAAGTGGGTTTAGATCTGGTGATCTGGGAGGCCACTGTATTGGGCCATTTGTTCCTATCCACTGATCATTAAAAGTAGTACTTAGAAAATGATAAGTACCTCTGGAGTTGTGGGCAGGTGCGCCATCTTGCTGAAAATGCAGATGATGTCTACTTATAAGATCCAATTCGTCTAAGAAATTAGTCAGAATTTCTGACATAAATTCCACATATCTTTCACCAGTTAGGGTTCCCTCATAAAAGAACGGGCCAACAATTTTTGAACCAATTATACCGCACCAAACGTTGAAACTGAAACGGACTTGTGGGCCTCTTGGATGTACTAACATAAGATTTTCTCTTGACCAATAATGGTGGTTTTTTCTATTAAACATTCCAGAATTTGAAAAATTTGATTCATCTGTCCATAAAAGGTAACGAAAGTTATTTACATTTTGGCGACAGAAGCTAAGATACCAATGGCAAAAAACAAGTCTTCTCTCTGGATCCCCTGCCAAAAGCGTTTGAACTGGTCGGTACTTATACGGAATAAATTTGTATTTTTATAAAATCCTTTGAACAGTACCATAACTGAAATTAGAGTCCTTGAGAATATCTGCTATTGAATTCTCACGATAAGCTTCAAAATATCCAATAACTGCAATTTCCGTGGCCTCGCTTATTATGAATTCTTTTTTTGCCCTTGTTTTAGCAAAAACATTTTCGATGCCCCTAAATTTTCGATAAAGTCTCAGAAAATATCGTTCATACGGTTGAATGCGAGCAGGATATAATTCACTGTAGTATTCTCTTGCTCTCAAGGAGGATTTTCTGCACACTAAATAGCATTCTAACATATCACACTTTTCTTCATGGGAGAACATTTTTCTTTAAATTAATGACACAATAAAGCTTATAAACAAGTATTTACACTAATGTTTGACATTATTTGATTTTATCATTGTTTTCCAAAGCCTTCTTGTTGCGAGTATGTCCAGTTTAACAATTTGTCGCTTATCTTAATGCTGTCAAATCGCGAACGCCATGTTGTTTTCATAGCCGTCTTAATATTATAATACTGCAAATAATTAAAAATATTTATCGTTATTTTGACTTTATTTTTGACTTTAGCGGAAAAGTCATTATGAACTTTTTTGTTTAAAATTTGATGCTTTAACAGAAAAAAATATAATATACAGGGGTTTCCATTTAAAAAAATGTTATTTTACTGAAAAAAATCAAAATAACGACTCTCAATTGTTTTTTTTTATTTCTCATTTTTACCAGCGTTAAAAATGCTACTAGTTTGCTAATTCAAACAACTTTGTATTTTCACTAATAACAAAGTTACTAATGGTGGACACTTAATTTGGATAACCCTGTATATACGTATAGTTATTTATGTATCTAAGGCGCTAAGTGAACGGTTGGGATGTGAAGCCCAGCTCTCATCTGTGGCTGCTACGAACTCAGAAGTGGACTATTGATGACGAACTTGCGATGAACTGGACAAAGAGGATCACTTGAGCGTCGTGGCCCACTAGAAGTGCTCTTCAGGAGCTGCTGTGAGCCTGCTCTGCCGATGTGTGGCTGCGACGTGGAAATAGGCACCAGCCCTTTCGAGCCCTGAACAGGTGCCACGGGTGTAAGACGCGGAATCTTGCACTGCTTCGGGCGAGCGCCGGTCCGTCCTCGCATTCCGGGACCAGCTAAGCGATGGCCAGGCCTCAAGGAACTGGGGAAGGATTGTTGAATACATCCGAGGGTATACCCGTTCCTGGCTACATCGACCCGCCCCTTGGCACACGAAGCGCTGGCGATACTACATATTATGGAGAATAGAAATCTGCAGACGATGGGGATTGATTCTTTTCACAGGAGGGAGAGTTCACAGAGGACGCCACCCGGAAGGCCAAGATCAGCTTTTCTGGATGAATTACCATTTCAAATTGCAGGAGTCAGCACCATAGAAGGCAATCCTCGAGAACGATGAATTTGGTGACCTATTGGAGCTGCTAGTAACCAAAACTAAATCACTGGAAGGGTACGTTGGTCAAATAACCAATACCAAAAAGGAAATCAAGGATACAGGCGCTGGAGATCAGAAGATTGTCACTCAAGGTTCAGCGTCTATATAGACAGCAACATAGTAGCCCTAGTGACTTGCGGGAATGCGAGACGCAAACTGAATGGGCGCTTCAGGGAGGCGCCGAAATTCAGACAAGAGACTCTAGGATGAGTACAAAGGATGCTGCTATCCAGACTGCAGCGATAGATAATGAGACGCGGAAAGCGATGCAAGAGATCAGCGAGAAACTAGACAAGGGAGCATCGCTGGAAGAGATCGGCGAAATTGTGGATAGGGAATGGCCCCAGGAAATATACACAAAGTTGCAGACAGTGACAGGAGATGTTATGAGTGCTCCCCAAGGGCACGATCTCTGGTAGTGCCGACGACATCCGATCTTAAGATGGGAAAAGGTCTGGCAAGAATATTGAAAGAGCGGTACAACGGACTGGAAGAGCTGGGATTCCAAGAGCAGGTACTGGGTGGGGTCGCTTATCCGTATCGCTGTTCCAACAGACAAAGGCCACAAGAAAAAAAGAGGTTTGTATGGTACTTGCTTGCCTAGGAGGAACCCTTAGAACTTGCGGAAACAGGAAAAGTATATGACGCCGTATTAAAACTAAGAGACATGATGCTAGATAACAGGAAAATGATTGCCATACCATCAATTGAGAGATACAGGGGCAACGAATTAGCGAAAATACTAGAATTCGACGTGGATATCTGTATCTACAGAAGAGAAACTAGACCAAAGAGAGACAAAGCAGATAAGACTCGACCCGGCAGCCCAGAGAAGGCACGCAATGCAAAGAGACGTATTGCCAAGGAGAGGGAAGGGGTGCTTGTTAAAAGCGACGGCAAGTCTTATGTATATCTTGCAAAGAATCTGAAAGCAGGGGTGAATCTGCAAAATGTAGAGATGGAAATCTCAAAAATGCGTGAGACTCGCTGGGAGTTGAAGGGCAAGGCTGAAGATGTAAGCGAGGCTATGGATAAACAGGTAAGCGGAGCGAAGACACTGAAGAAAAGTAGGCAGGTGTATTTCATGTAGCGGGCCTCGCCAGTACCACAAACGACGACGAGGTAATAGGAGCCAGAAATGTTGCGTTAGGTGAAGAAGAGAAGGACTTTAGACTGTCATCTCTCAGGCCTGTCTATGGAGAAAGCCAGAAAGCAACCATAATAGCGTCAGTTGCAGTGGCGGATAAGCTTACCAGACTAGGCATAATTCACAAAGGATTGGTCCACTGCCGGATCCATGCACGTAGCGAGAGTAGCAGGTGCTGGAAGTGCTGGATGCATGGACATCTCCCAGATAAGTGCAAAGGGGCAGACATGTCTATGTTGTGCCTGAAATGCGGTAAACCAGGGCATAGCGCAAAAGACTGTAATAATCCAGCGTTCTGTCCAATATGTAACGTATGGGGGCATCAAGCAAGAAGACGGTGTGGTGAACAAGAATCACATGATCAAACGAACTTACCTGTAAGTGATGTCCAGTCTTAATTATGTGAAGTCCTCCATGAAGTAAATATTTAGCATACATATCTTAATACCCTCGTAGTAGTACCCAACCGCCACGAATTCAAAGCGCGCACGCAGAGAAGGAAAGCGGCACCGCGCCCCTTCACCCTACCTTTCACCCCTCTGGCCGCCTATAAACCTTCATTTACTTCAAAGCCTAGTTTTTGCAACAATTGGGTGGTACATAGCACATAGGAAGGGAGAGAGCTATTTACTTCGACGAGGACTTCACATAATTAAGATCGAACATCACTTACAGGTAAGTTCGTTTGATCATGTAATTATGTTCCGTCCTCGTCGAAGTAAATATTTAGAATACATACCGCAGATGTTCAAAGCTAGTTGCAACAACATACTACTAACGCTCTGCAATAATAAACCATAAGTTGTACACAACTACACAAATTGTACGCAACGCATGTGTCAACTACATGTACAAAGATGAGCCATCCAACTTGCACATACCTCTTGCATCTTCTGGCCTCCAAAAATACCGAATTGCAACGTTGTACATATATTAGCACCGAAGACGGTCTGAAAAGCGGGATTGATACTGGAAGGTAAAATGTCAGAGCAATGCTTGGTTGCCTCCAGTGGCGGTGGGTTATTGCTGTTGATCAGGTGTAGGCTTAATTAAATTCCCAATATGGTGTGATTTTCAAAGCAGATTACATCTATATTTGTAATATATCTCCAGGCTTGTGGAAAGCAAAATATTTCCTTCAAATTTCAATATTCATGGAGAAGCAGGTTGTTTGGTTAATTTTCATATGGTATCATTATCTGCCGTTGGTAATAATGGAATCATCAACTTGAGCATTTGATAGACCAATTGCGTATGAGTGAAAGACGAAAGGTAAGAAATCAAAGGCCCTGGATGGAATGAAGCTTCTCAAACGCTGGGAGATTTTAGGTACGAGTTCGCGTCGTGTATCGGCGGAGTGTGGGTAGAGACAGTTGATTATGGTTTGTTCACCAAAATATTCATACAGATCATATTGTGGCGGAATCATTAATCTGAATATCCATAATGCTGAGTATATTATTAGCGTGTATGTCCAGCTTTACATCCACCCTTTAACTAGATAGATACACCCACACACATGCCGGTATACAATAGGTTTTTTTGTTTTTGATTTACTGCCTGCATGCGACCAAGATATCCAAATAAAGGGCAGAAAGGTTACAGGCGGATGGTTCACCTGAATGGGTTCCCTACTTTTAATTTTATTGATTTCAACAGAGTAATGCCTAGTCTGGCATGTCATAGAGTAATTGAGTTTATACAGGGTAATACATATTATTATTTTTTCTGTCTAGACGATATATGATAAATAGCATTTTCTGGAAAATAGGCTTGTAAAATAGAGTGCTTTAGCGTTCCACCCATTGGCGATAACCCACCTGTCGTTCTGGTTTCCTTGACATTGTGCAATATGAGTAACTACTATACTGATTCTAACAGAGGTTGGAATGGATTATTGTTCGGTCACAAGTTTAAAAATGAGTGTAAGAGCGCTAAACTTAGTAACCAGAAAAGAAAGCAGATTTTCCAAATTGTGTGCAATCACAATCACTTTGTTTTTTGTATGTTCGTATTTATTTTTAAGGGAACATGAATAATGTAGACTGAAGAGTAAAAATTAAATAATGGAACATCACATCTATTTTCTCGCAATATACTTGAACGATCTACTTTGGAATTGTTTGGCAATAATCATTGACGTAGAACGCAAAACTAAACAACAAATTGGTATCGTATTTTCTTCTTTTTGATACTACCCAGTCATGAATCACAAAAATTTAGTTGTTCAATAAAGAGTTCCAGCACGGTGTAACTTTAAACTAACAACTTTTTAGGAGAGCATAAAAGAACGGTGATCCTTTGGAGTCGCTATCGAATGATCTTATAATCCTCCATGTTTGTCTAGTCGCAAATGAAACCTCATAAGCTAATAGTGCCTACTGATGGCACTCCGGCATTCACGGTGGCTTTTTTAAGCAAATACATAAGTTATTCTTTGCGTTTAGTGGTGTTACAACTTAAGCGATGATGTCTCAAATTCCAAATATGTTAGAATAACAATCGTCGCCTTTACATCATTAGCGGAGCATCGAAATATTAGCACCCCACTTCCTACTAGTTTCGCAACGCGTAAAACAATCCGGTGTTTTGCGGTCAACTACCTTCAGGTGACCTTCATTCCTGGATGTTTACCTTCCTCCTGACTAGCTGCAGCTCACAGACATCACAGTTTAACTGCATGTAGGATTTGGTATACCACAATGTAATTTCAGACACCTCGCCAAAAACTGTTTCAATGACGGAGTGACGCTACTCTTCTATAGTCCATATCATTTCGTCACTACTTGCTCAACCACCTTAGGCGTTAATGCGACGTTGCAGTTCAGTATTTTGGGAGGCCAGAAAATGAAGGAGGTATGAGCAACTTCGATTGCAGATTTTTATACATCTCCATTGTAACAATTCAAGCTTTTAGAAACAGCTAGTATGACGTACCTGGTTCAAAAATTACCATCCATTTCATGGTAGTGAGCAAATAACGTAATAACATAGTTATGTTTAAGGTGTGGAGACTTGATTCACCACAAATGCCGCTTGAGCAAAGCTACTGTTTGGCATAAGAGATTTGTGACGTATCTCAGAAAACGCACTCCAGCCAGCCGCGAGCCTGAGACTACTACTATAATTTAGCAGGCGGAGGGGTAGACGCATTTCATGTACTGTGGGCTGTCAATTGTGACGCTCTCTGCTAAAACCGACTTCAACCATCTGGGAGCAGAGGCACAATGATAAAGTTACTGTACAATGACAAATAAATACTTTGACTTCACAGATATTTGGGCGTAAAATATAGTAAAACTGAAAGTGATTGCCACATGAGTGACCCCGAGACTTTCAAAAACTGAGAAATCCCAATTTCAATATTAGTCAACCCAATCCGCATGTTGTCTGTTTCAATTAGTTTGCACACTGACCTGAGGTTAGAGCTAGCAGTGTTGCTGATTTTCTCATTCAAATATCTACGGAGCTTACCAGCAACCCCTTTGGTTGGTTGAGAATAACCACAGTGTCTATAGTTCAGTTGAGATGGCCTCAGGCTGTAAATGCCCTTCAAAAACCATCTTATGTCTGCATCGTTAGTGACATATTGGGTAAAAGACTGATAGCTCAAACAATCATAACTTGATCTCTTATCACATGTAAGGTAAGAAATTTTAAGGTAGAAAACCAGACATGTATTTCTTCCCGACAAAGGTCCTACCGTAATCTAAACCCACAATACATGATGGATTATCGATGCTGATTGGAACAGCGACAGTGACGATAACCAGGATAAGCTTCAGAATTAGTGGGAGCGGCATCCTGAGTCTCTCCACCAGATCCTTGCGTTACTTCTAGAAGTGAAGTTTCAGAAACACCGAATACTTGAACCAAAATCAGGGCGGTGACAGGTGTAGCTCCACTCCGTTTCCACGTCCCACTGACGCAAAAGCTCATCTGTATCAGTATTACTCTTAGTTTTTATATTTGACGTGAAGGCAGTGGTGTTTGATGATTATATACACAAAGTTGCAGACAGTGACAGGAGATGTTATGAGTGCTCCCCAAGGGCACGATCTCTGGTAGTGCCGACGACATCCGATCTTAAGATGGGAAAAGGTCTGGCAAGAATATTGAAAGAGCGGTACAACGGACTGGAAGAGCTGGGATTCCAAGAGCAGGTACTGGGTGGGGTCGCTTATCCGTATCGCTGTTCCAACAGACAAAGGCCACAAGAAAAAAAGAGGTTTGTATGGTACTTGCTTGCCTAGGAGGAACCCTTAGAACTTGCGGAAACAGGAAAAGTATATGACGCCGTATTAAAACTAAGAGACATGATGCTAGATAACAGGAAAATGATTGCCATACCATCAATTGAGAGATACAGGGGCAACGAATTAGCGAAAATACTAGAATTCGACGTGGATATCTGTATCTACAGAAGAGAACTAGACCAAAGAGAGACAAAGCAGATAAGACTCGACCCGGCAGCCCAGAGAAGGCACGCAATGCAAAGAGACGTATTGCCAAGGAGAGGGAAGGGGTGCTTGTTAAAAGCGACGGCAAGTCTTATGTATATCTTGCAAAGAATCTGAAAGCAGGGGTGAATCTGCAAAATGTAGAGATGGAAATCTCAAAAATGCGTGAGACTCGCTGGGAGTTGAAGGGCAAGGCTGAAGATGTAAGCGAGGCTATGGATAAACAGGTAAGCGGAGCGAAGACACTGAAGAAAAGTAGGCAGGTGTATTTCATGTAGCGGGCCTCGCCAGTACCACAAACGACGACGAGGTAATAGGAGCCAGAAATGTTGCGTTAGGTGAAGAAGAGAAGGACTTTAGACTGTCATCTCTCAGGCCTGTCTATGGAGAAAGCCAGAAAGCAACCATAATAGCGTCAGTTGCAGTGGCGGATAAGCTTACCAGACTAGGCATAATTCACAAAGGATTGGTCCACTGCCGGATCCATGCACGTAGCGAGAGTAGCAGGTGCTGGAAGTGCTGGATGCATGGACATCTCCCAGATAAGTGCAAAGGGGCAGACATGTCTATGTTGTGCCTGAAATGCGGTAAACCAGGGCATAGCGCAAAAGACTGTAATAATCCAGCGTTCTGTCCAATATGTAACGTATGGGGGCATCAAGCAAGAAGACGGTGTGGTGAACAAGAATCACATGATCAAACGAACTTACCTGTAAGTGATGTCCAGTCTTAATTATGTGAAGTCCTCCATGAAGTAAATATTTAGCATACATATCTTAATACCCTCGTAGTAGTACCCAACCGCCACGAATTCAAAGCGCGCACGCAGAGAAGGAAAGCGGCACCGCGCCCCTTCACCCTACCTTTCACCCCTCTGGCCGCCTATAAACCTTCATTTACTTCAAAGCCTAGTTTTTGCAACAATTGGGTGGTACATAGCACATAGGAAGGGAGAGAGCTATTTACTTCGACGAGGACTTCACATAATTAAGATCGAACATCACTTACAGGTAAGTTCGTTTGATCATGTAATTATGTTCCGTCCTCGTCGAAGTAAATATTTAGAATACATACCGCAGATGTTCAAAGCTAGTTGCAACAACATACTACTAACGCTCTGCAATAATAAACCATAAGTTGTACACAACTACACAAATTGTACGCAACGCATGTGTCAACTACATGTACAAAGATGAGCCATCCAACTTGCACATACCTCTTGCATCTTCTGGCCTCCAAAAATACCGAATTGCAACGTTGTACATATATTAGCACCGAAGACGGTCTGAAAAGCGGGATTGATACTGGAAGGTAAAATGTCAGAGCAATGCTTGGTTGCCTCCAGTGGCGGTGGGTTATTGCTGTTGATCAGGTGTAGGCTTAATTAAATTCCCAATATGGTGTGATTTTCAAAGCAGATTACATCTATATTTGTAATATATCTCCAGGCTTGTGGAAAGCAAAATATTTCCTTCAAATTTCAATATTCATGGAGAAGCAGGTTGTTTGGTTAATTTTCATATGGTATCATTATCTGCCGTTGGTAATAATGGAATCATCAACTTGAGCATTTGATAGACCAATTGCGTATGAGTGAAAGACGAAAGGTAAGAAATCAAAGGCCCTGGATGGAATGAAGCTTCTCAAACGCTGGGAGATTTTAGGTACGAGTTCGCGTCGTGTATCGGCGGAGTGTGGGTAGAGACAGTTGATTATGGTTTGTTCACCAAAATATTCATACAGATCATATTGTGGCGGAATCATTAATCTGAATATCCATAATGCTGAGTATATTATTAGCGTGTATGTCCAGCTTTACATCCACCCTTTAACTAGATAGATACACCCACACACATGCCGGTATACAATAGGTTTTTTTTGTTTTTGATTTACTGCCTGCATGCGACCAAGATATCCAATAAAGGGCAGAAAGGTTACAGGCGGATGGTTCACCTGAATGGGTTCCCTACTTTTAATTTTATTGATTTCAACAGAGTAATGCCTAGTCTGGCATGTCATAGAGTAATTGAGTTTATACAGGGTAATACATATTATTATTTTTTCTGTCTAGACGATATATGATAAATAGCATTTTCTGGAAAATAGGCTTGTAAAATAGAGTGCTTTAGCGTTCCACCCATTGGCGATAACCCACCTGTCGTTCTGGTTTCCTTGACATTGTGCAATATGAGTAACTACTATACTGATTCTAACAGAGGTTGGAATGGATTATTGTTCGGTCACAAGTTTAAAAATGAGTGTAAGAGCGCTAAACTTAGTAACCAGAAAAGAAAGCAGATTTTCCAAATTGTGTGCAATCACAATCACTTTGTTTTTTGTATGTTCGTATTTATTTTTAAGGGAACATGAATAATGTAGACTGAAGAGTAAAAAATTAAATAATGGAACATCACATCTATTTTCTCGCAATATACTTGAACGATCTACTTTGGAATTGTTTGGCAATAATCATTGACGTAGAACGCAAAACTAAACAACAAATTGGTATCGTATTTTCTTCTTTTTGATACTACCCAGTCATGAATCACAAAAATTTAGTTGTTCAATAAAGAGTTCCAGCACGGTGTAACTTTAAACTAACAACTTTTTAGGAGAGCATAAAAGAACGGTGATCCTTTGGAGTCGCTATCGAATGATCTTATAATCCTCCATGTTTGTCTAGTCGCAAATGAAACCTCATAAGCTAATAGTGCCTACTGATGGCACTCCGGCATTCACGGTGGCTTTTTTAAGCAAATACATAAGTTATTCTTTGCGTTTAGTGGTGTTACAACTTAAGCGATGATGTCTCAAATTCCAAATATGTTAGAATAACAATCGTCGCCTTTACATCATTAGCGGAGCATCGAAATATTAGCACCCCACTTCCTACTAGTTCGCAACGCGTAAAACAATCCGGTGTTTTGCGGTCAACTACCTTCAGGTGACCTTCATTCCTGGATGTTTACCTTCCTCCTGACTAGCTGCAGCTCACAGACATCACAGTTTAACTGCATGTAGGATTTGGTATACCACAATGTAATTTCAGACACCTCGCCAAAAACTGTTTCAATGACGGAGTGACGCTACTCTTCTATAGTCCATATCATTTCGTCACTACTTGCTCAACCACCTTAGGCGTTAATGCGACGTTGCAGTTCAGTATTTTGGGAGGCCAGAAAATGAAGGAGGTATGAGCAACTTCGATTGCAGATTTTTATACATCTCCATTGTAACAATTCAAGCTTTTAGAAACAGCTAGTATGACGTACCTGGTTCAAAAATTACCATCCATTTCATGGTAGTGAGCAAATAACGTAATAACATAGTTATGTTTAAGGTGTGGAGACTTGATTCACCACAAATGCCGCTTGAGCAAAGCTACTGTTTGGCATAAGAGATTTGTGACGTATCTCAGAAAACGCACTCCAGCCAGCCGCGAGCCTGAGACTACTATAATTTAGCAGGCGGAGGGGTAGACGCATTTCATGTACTGTGGGCTGTCAATTGTGACGCTCTCTGCTAAAACCGACTTCAACCATCTGGGAGCAGAGGCACAATGATAAAGTTACTGTACAATGACAAATAAATACTTTGACTTCACAGATATTTGGGCGTAAAATATAGTAAAACTGAAAGTGATTGCCACATGAGTGACCCCGAGACTTTCAAAAACTGAGAAATCCCAATTTCAATATTAGTCAACCCAATCCGCATGTTGTCTGTTTCAATTAGTTTGCACACTGACCTGAGGTTAGAGCTAGCAGTGTTGCTGATTTTCTCATTCAAATATCTACGGAGCTTACCAGCAACCCCTTTGGTTGGTTGAGAATAACCACAGTGTCTATAGTTCAGTTGAGATGGCCTCAGGCTGTAAATGCCCTTCAAAAACCATCTTATGTCTGCATCGTTAGTGACATATTGGGTAAAAGACTGATAGCTCAAACAATCATAACTTGATCTCTTATCACATGTAAGGTAAGAAATTTTAAGGTAGAAAACCAGACATGTATTTCTTCCCGACAAAGGTCCTACCGTAATCTAAACCCACAATACATGATGGATTATCGATGCTGATTGGAACAGCGACAGTGACGATAACCAGGATAAGCTTCAGAATTAGTGGGAGCGGCATCCTGAGTCTCTCCACCAGATCCTTGCGTTACTTCTAGAAGTGAAGTTTCAGAAACACCGAATACTTGAACCAAAATCAGGGCGGTGACAGGTGTAGCTCCCACTCCGTTTCCACGTCCCACTGACGCAAAAGCTCATCTGTATCAGTATTACTCTTAGTTTTTATATTTGACGTGAAGGCAGTGGTGTTGATGATTAGCATGTGGGATCTTCTTCTCAGGTGAACAAAACCTAGAGACTTTTTCCAGGCCAACGGATGCCTCAGTCCGAGAAATTATACAACTAAAAATAGGATAATTCAATACCTCTGACCGCATCTGCCAGTTTCTTTGAGCCCCAGCCGAGGAAGACCTTAAGTTATATTATGTTATTGGCATAGTAGCGTTAAAATTCCCTTGAGAAAAGGCAAGACATTTCACTCGTCAGTGTATAGTCGGCTGTAACGAAACGAAAGACAAGCTGCCAGCAATATCCCGATGTTCAGCGCAAAATTTCGGACTCTGTCTTAGTTGCTGCCCATTATTGCTCTTACTAGGTTTAGTAATGTCTGCATCATCCACTCAAATAAAGCTACTTTCCTTCTGTCACAATTTAATACTGAGCCTGAGAGTACTCAATTGTTTCTTAAGGTATTCCAGAAATGGTTTTATTAACTTTGTGGACACATGAGGGGCACAATTTACCCTAAACGGTACATCATTGTATTGGAAGAGCTATCCCTTTGCGTGCTTTGAAATTATGGCGGTTGGGTACTACTAAGAGGATACTACGATATGTATTCTAAATATTTACTTCGACGAGAATAGAATATATTCCTCACATAATAACCGGCCTAGAATTACTACAAATTAATGTGGATAGAGGCAGGCAGGCGCAAGATCTCCTCGTGCACACTTCAGGCGTAACACACGCAGATATAGTAGTGGTGGCGGAACCGAATAAGATACAGATAGCCCAGGATGGTATAGAGGTACTAGAAAAGATAAAAATACTGAATCAACAAATCGTGATAGATATACTAAGTGACATATAAATCCGAACACCCAGTTTAAATGGTTTTATTTTAATAAAATTTTGTATAAGTACTTAATGAAGCATAATAAGTAAATGATAAAAATTTCAAAATGATTGCACTGCTTTAAAGCCCTTTGACCTTTAATAATGTGTGGATGCACCCTGATGTGCTACGCATTCTCCAACGCGCCTAGGCATGCTTCTGATCAGGTGGTCAATGTCCTCCTGTGGTATCTCATTCCAGGCAACTACCAACTCCTCTCGAAGTGCTTCTAGAGTCTCAGGAGGACGTTGCAAATTGAGCAATCTCCTACCCATCATATCCCACACGTGCTCAATTGGGGATAAGTCGGGAGATCTTCGTGGCCATGGTAACAATGTGACATCATTATGTTGAAAGACGTCTATTGTGACTCTTGCAACATGTGGTCGGACATTATCTTGTTGGAAAGTTGGATCTGCCAGGGTGTCAAGATAGGGTAAAAGATTAGGTTCTAGAGCTTCGTGGATATAACGCTGCGCGTTCATGTTACCTCTGATGAAGATTAAAGGTAACCTGGAACTATAAGCTATAGCACCCCAAACCATAACTCTAACAGTGTGATGAACATGTCTTTCAACAAAAAACTGTGGATTCCTCCTTTCACCACGTCGCCTTCTAACCCTGGCACGACCATCGTGCATGCCTAAACAAAATCGAGACTCGTCACTAAAGACGATATCCTGATCCCAGAGTGACCGTTGTCTGCACCACTCAAGGCGATTACGGCGGTGTTCTCGAGTTAAAGGGAGGACCCGGTGTGGCCGGTATGAAAACAAGCCAAAACTTCTCATTCGTCGGTAAACACTTCGCATGCCAATAGGTCTTCGGTGTTCTGCAAACCATTCATTTGCAATGGACCTGGTAGTGGAGAAAGGATCCCTTGACGCCAATAATCTTAGGTGGCGATCTTCACGGTCTGTTGTTCTACGGCGGCGTCCAGTGCCCCTTGCTCTTTGCGTACGGCCTTCCCGAAGCCATGCCTGACAACACCTAACCACAGTATCTACACTTCTTTGCACTCTAACTGCAATTGCCCGAAAAGAAAGTCCAGCTTCCCGAAGTCCCACTATACGGCCCCAATCAAACTCACTAAGTTGACGAAATCGTACAGGTCTCCGTACTCTAGGCATCGTAACCTATCGTAAAGGATGTCAAGAACCAAAATCCGCCAACGTTGATTCTTTACTGCGGCTGAAATATTCATTTTTAGAGCGTTAGTGAATTAAAAAAGATCAGTATAAAAACCGGAATGTCCAACTGATAAGGCTGAAAATTTTTTCACTTGTTATTTACAGTAAGATAAATACATTCACCAACTTTTATTAAAATAAAACCATTTAAACTGGGTGTTCGGATTTATATGTCAATTAGTATAGTCATGGTAGATGGGATGGCTTTGTCTGGGTTAACATCGGTTCAGTGACTTTTTAGCTGCTATTATTCACCCAATGCTAAAATAGATGTTTTTGAGGATGAGTTATATCGTTTGGAAGACGCTGTAGCAAGCTCCAGGAATAAAGCTATCATATATGGTGATTTTAACGCGAAGGTTCCAGATTGGGGTATGACATATTTTGATGGAAGAGATATTCTAGCTGCATGGTTGCAAGAGGCAATTCTGCATCTATCTTGGATCTGACAGAAGCTATTGAGGATGTCTCCACTAACATTCGAAACTGGAGAGTATTAGACTTGGGGAGCCTAAGTTGCCATAGCTACATTGTGTTCAAGATGGTTGTAGCGGACGATACTGTGGAGCCCTTACCACAAAATCAGACGAGGATGGAATCCGAAACATCTGAACGTCACTTGGTTCCGGAATGAGCTACATCTCCGCGCGAAGGAGAACACTGGAACAACGGCAAAGGAGCTGATTCAATTGTTAACTTAGGTTTGTGATAGCACAATGCCAAGAAGAGAGAGTCGTGGTCATAGAAGAAGTGTCTACTGGTGGACGCAGGATATCGCAGAAGCCAGAAAAGAACGCATTAAAGCTAAGAGAGCATCAACGAGTAGGAACTTGACTGCGGAAATCAGAAATGTATTGAAATAGGAATACAGGGAGGCTAGGAAACTACTCAGAAGACTAATAGAAACGTCTAAGCGGAACTGTTGGAAGAGACTCTTAGCAGATGTAGATAATGATGTATGGGGCAAAGGACACCAAATAGTGGTCAAGAGACTGCGTTTGGCCTCTTTGGATAGAATCCCATTTGATAAGAGGTTGGAAATAATCAGAACGCTTTTTCCACCAAGTCCTTCACTGCAGGTTGATTCTGATTCATATAGAGCCAGCATCCGGTTTGCAATGGAGGAGCTTCAGGAAGCCGCGACTGGACTGAAGGATCACAAAGTATCGGGGCCTGCGGAAATCATTCAGCTCGCCGTGAAAGCAGTGCCTGGAATATTCTTGGAGGTGACAAATCGGGCGCTGCGTACGGGAGTATTTCCAGATTTCTGGAAACTCGCAATTATGGTGCTCCCCAAGAAAAAACACAAACCTAACGGAATTCCATCCTCATATAAGAATATCTCATTACTAGACGCTGATGGAGCATATGTAAATGAATCGACTACTCGAAGACATGAATGTAGTGGGTGGGATTCTCCGATAGGCAGTATGGCTTGCGTGAAGGGAGATCAACTGTAGCTGCCATACAGGAAGTCATATGGAATACAGAAATCAGACAGCGATGAATGCATGTACTGTCAAAAAAAGACACAGTTGCACACACTCTCTTCGAGTGCAACAGATGGGAGCAACAAAGTGCACAAGTCGTTGCTAGCCTAGGACACGCTCTGACGGAGAGTAATCTGACCAGCACTATGATGGCGAACAACCAATCGTGGATAGAAATAAAAAGATTCATCAGCGAAATACTATCCATTAAAGACAAGAATGAAAGAAGAACGGACAGCCCACACTCCTAGGACATATACATGGAAATTTTACTGCAGAAACCGCTGAGGAAACGAAGTCATGTGTGAGACACAGTCATGCTGGTAGTAGGCGCGGGCGAATCCCAGCATGAGGGTGGGGGAGGGGGTTTTAGCCCAGGTGGCATAACCTGAATGCGGATACTAGATATGCGGTCTCAGGTATCTCTTGGTGATTTCCCCCAAGAAAAAAAAAGTAGTAGCAGTAATAGTAGAATGTGTCGACATGCTTTAACTAATATACCTTTGAAATGCCCCTTTCCAAGGTACAGGATATTGGACGTCCTCGGAAAAACTAAATATTTGTAAGGACTCAATATTTTGAAAGTAGAAAAATCAGTACATCCAACAAACAAAAAAATCTGCAGTTGCTGCTACACCAGAAACTGTGATAATCTGCACCCCTGCTTGAACCCCCTACAGTGGAAGGAAGAAAAGCATTTACTATATCACTGACTGTGTTAAAATCTCACGTGAATTGTCTTGCACATAATTTTTCAAAGATCATCAGAATTGTTTTTGATATCCAAAATACAAATCCAGAGACTTTCTTATAAAAAGTTTAAATCTATTCTACCATGAAAATATGCCGTTTTCCTTATCAGAGAGACATTGTAAGATTTACTTTCTGTCTTACAAATACCAGCATAGTTTTTTTAGTCATTCTGGTTGTATAGTAAATGCAGTCGCAGCATAATCAGATTTAATCCCTCTGGGCGGCGCTTGAAGTTGTTCGGGGTCAAACTGGCAACAGTTGACGGTAGAAATAGCGATTTAATGCACAAGTGCACACGGTTTGACGTTTATTAATACGAATAACAGATCACCAATTGGTATTATTTGTCTGGTTTATAGCTTTAGACATGACGTGCAAAATAACTAGCGATATCTAATTCTATCTTTACTGTGAAACAAGAAGCTCCGCTCTCTTGCACTCCGTGTGCCCTTTTCATTATCGGGGTAATCATTTACCCAAAAACAAACAAAACAAGACTAAACCTGATATTTAGAGAAATATGAGTATGACATAGAAAATCCGTCTCACAGTTTCCCTGGCACAGCAATTCCGCGAAAAGGCATCCTGCTCAAAGTCGCTACTTTTATTAAAGCAACTTTAATTAAAGGCATTGTAAACGTTCAACTGAGATAACGCTTTAAAGTTTCTAGTAATGAGCGACGTTCATGCACTACTCGTCTTAATACAGAGGTCGCTCTCAATACAGTGGCATTCCTTGCTGTTTTACGATACGCGGGTTTTAAGATCATGGAGCATTCGCTTTGGTGATAAAGTATGTGAATTATGAAGATAGCATTGCAAAGCTTGCATTATTAGAAATGCTTCTAATATTACAGTGGTAGTAGCTCAAATCGAAAAACTAAAACCCTGTATGCAGTCTGATAGCTTAGAAGTCATTGGGATCGCTCTAGTCTAAGATCTAAATCAGAAGCAGCTTTGCTCATATGTTTGATGGATGTACGTAACTAATATCAAATTTAGTGTGTTATGAAATGTGAAGCGAGTGCGCTGGTTAAAAAGTTCCTGGTGAGACTGTTATTAATTAAAAATGAAAAATGGCTTTTTATTAAAAGTTGCACTAATAAGTTCAACAAATAAATTTAATATCAATCGAAAGTATGAAGCCTATAAAATATGCAAACATTGGGTTGTCTATTGTTTTTCCGGCGGAACTGTTGGGTTGGCAAGGCTTAAACAGGTATGTTGATACTAGTTATTTGCATCAATTTGTTTAATAAATAAACCCTATATCGAAATAAGCAACTTTTCATTCCGAACACTATGATATAGGGTTGTTTACAAAAAAACTGGCTGAAATAATGATTGGGAGGTTCTTAAGAGTGAACATTTGATGCGAATGGAAACTTGAGACAAAGACGTCCGAGCTACGTATCGCGTGCAAATGAAGAGGCCGCATGGAACTTGGCCTTACTTTTTTGGTGTGATTGATACAGAAAAAAAAACTCAGGCTGAATTCCTATGAGGTGTCTTCTTCGGTTGCACGGGATACGTAGCTCGGCCCTCTTTGTCGCAAGTTTCCATTCGCACCAAAATGTCACTCTTAAAAACCTGCCCACCGTCATTTCACCCAGTTTTTGTACGGACAACCCTATACTCGTATCTCATATTCGCTATGACAAGGTACTTATTTTAAAGAATGGTTCATTTATTGAATAAATCGGTGCAGATAGCTACTATCGACATATTTTCTTATCCCTGCCTTCCCGGTAGTTACGCTAGGAAGAAACAGAGATCCCAACGCTTGCAAATTCTTTCAGTTGATATCAAATTTATATGTATGTCACACTTATCAGTGCGGGTCTTAATTATAAGTCATTCTTCGATATATCTTTTAACATACTAAATTTGATTTAAAATATTTATTAAAAGATCCCTCCTAATACGGATCTTCTGCTATTCAGTCAACGTAAAGCGGTCCAGCGGTGCAGCGCTTCTATGGTGAATAGCAGTAGCCATGGTATAGCTTTCTTAGTTTGCCAGTAGTTTTCACTTGGCTGCCATATTTGTTAGTATTTTGGCCAATGCAGCGAACTGTCAAAGCTATTCAACGGCTAATGCTTTTCAACATAAGGTGCTGCATTGTGGGTCCATTTTACGTTGACTGACCGGTCCCAATATGCACTTCACTTTTTACCTGACTGCCTCGGAAGGAGGGTGATGTTTTTGGTCTTAGTAGTGCGTCGACACTAGCTATATTAAAATTTTATAGAACCAAAACAACTGGTTTTGATAAAACAGTTCTCTTGAAATTCCTACTTCACGACTACAGCTTAAGAGGTTTGATAGATTTTGACATATGAGATCTTACTAGATTCATCTTAGCAGTTTGAATAACATTCACTAAAAATTCTACCCTGACACTCTTATTAAAGGTAATTCTTACATAGCCCGAAGACTTGTTTAATGTTTATTATCGAGAAATTGAATTGTATGGTAATTGAATGAGCCGTTTAGTAATTTACAAGTTTACACCAGATGCATTAGCGGGCTTTAAGCCAGCAACTCGCCAAAGTTTTATTAGAATACCTAATCAAAGATCGAAAATGCAAAATATTACCTTATAGATGCACGTATTTCGACAAAAAAATTTCCGAAAATGGGAATTTGAGCACAATTAGTAACAAAACTCTGAGAGACAGGCATTACATTGATTTTCGAAGTTTGCCTTAAATTAGGCTAATACAATAATTAAAAGTGGAATTAAAATTTACTCCAAACTAAGCAATAAAATTGTGATAAATGCATGAGAAACCATTTAACCTACGTCATCTAAACACAACTTAAACTGAGAAAATAATAAGATGTGTCAAAGTTTCATACGGAATATAACTACATCTATTCCGAAAGAAAAATTGATTTGATTTTTGGTATGCCTGGAATCACAAATATGACTAGTAACCAAAATTGGTAGGAGACTAAACATACACATTACTAGAAAAACTTTTTCTAAATGACGTTAAACATAAGTATGAGAGTGCTTAACTCTCAACAAGTCGTCAATCAAACCGATGTAGGTCTCATAATAGTCCTTCAAATGAGTGATAATTTTAGTAACTATTTCAAGAAAATGTATAACTTATTTGGAAATCTTGCCTAATAAGAAATTTATAGTTGGGAGTTTGAAGAACTGCAATTGAATCCGTCAGTACAAACACCTCGTAAGTGCAAGCATTTGAAGTTTCCAAAAGACAATAAAACTGTGTTACTGACAAATAAACCGACTTGAAGATATTCTTTTGGGATTGATTTTTCAAATAACCTTCATAGTTTATTAATTTTAAGACCCTGAAAAACTGTTATAGACTTATATTGTCTTACCAATAAATAGGGTTAGTGGGGGGCTTTTATCACTCATTATTGAAGATTACTCACAAATATTAACTTATTATCATGCCACATATTTTAGTTCTGTAGGTTTCAATACTTTCAAGGTACATAGGTGAAACCCGGGCAAATCGAACACATGGGAAATCCGAATTTCCCGTTTTACATCTAAACTGTAAATTGACCATCGTGAAACACAAGACTCATTCCTTCAACTTTCTTCATTAACCTTTCTTCAATGCAGTAGAAGAATCTATGTACTCGTGTCACTACCAGGCATCAACAATGATTTTTTAACAACAAACAATGATATTGCAAGATATGTGTTGTGCGTGCAATCATGCCTTTATACCATATATATGATATATTTATTTAAAATGTTTAGCGTATATTTGACGGACTTTCTCTGTCATATAAAATTTGAAGTAGAATTGAGTTAATGGTTTTGGTAAGAAACAAAAAACTCTTTAACAAGCGATTTCCGGCGGGGCGGGTAAGGCTTGTAACCTTATTTTTGTAGTTAGTAAGTATAAAATTAATGTCTTGGTGCATATAGCATATCAATGTGAAAATAAGGCAATACAAAGACAATATATAAACAATACTTTGAAATGATCCATTCAAATACCCGCCGTCGAGTAGCGCGCGCATGAACTCCCGGACCTACGATGCATTTTCACTGAACGAGTATTACGTGGTGTTGTTTGAAGGGGAAGGAATATTGTGACTTACGAGATCTATACCGAGAATACGCATCTACA